TTTAATGAAATTGACATACATGAAATTGTCAAGGAACAAATTTTTTTTTAAAAAATCAGGTAGGTGGCCTCGCTCTAGCTCACTTTGAGTGTGTCCTCTTAGAGAACACACTAAATCCTCCCAGGCTTCCCCAATGTGGCAAGTGTAAGGCAATTACCTCTACTTATGTAGTAAAGGGTTCCACATCCCAGTAATCCTGGATCACTCGGATCAATCTGTTGAAAATATAACAATTGTGGAAACCCCTGACAAGGTATTTGTTAAGGTTCAGATAGCCTATTCAATGTGGAAGGGGAGGCTGTCAACAAATTGTATGAACCAGTTTTTTGGTTCTTGAAATAGGGATGCATACTGTGGACCAGGCTGCCTCCAGCTTGCAGCAATTCTTCTGCCTCAGCCTTTGGAGTGCTGTGATTCGAAGTGTGAGTCACCCCGCCCAGCCCATGCACATGTTCTTTATATGGACTTTGCTAAGTCCAAGAACCACGTTTTTAAAAACTCCTTGTACACATCTTTTTGGTTCAAGTTTGTGCTTTTTCTAGGAGCAACAACCATTTCTGGTGGCTTTTAAGTGGAGGGTTCTAAGGTGGCGCCTATGTTAAACTTTAACAGCACAGGTCTCAAAGCTACAGAAAGGCCTACAGGGACTCTGCCAGGGCCAAGAGCAATAAGGAGCGTGTGCACCCAGTCCTGACCGATTCTTTATTCAGCTAGGTGACCTTGGACAAGCACTATCCCCGGCCTGGGCTCCAGTTTCTAAATCCGCACATTGGAAGTTGAACCACGTGGTCCTCCTCAGCCAGGAGCCTGGCACCTAGCAGACCTCGCCATCCTGCAGCTTCCTGTGGGCGAGGGGCGGACTCCGCTCTCCGGCCCGCAAAACCCTCACCGCCAGGGCGAGTGGCCGCGCTTTCGGGAAGCACCGCGAGCGGCTCGCGCGCAGTTCCTCCCCTCCCCGGAGCTGTCCCGTCGTGCCCCGCGCCAGACACCAGAAGCGCTGGGGCACCTCCCTTCTTAGCGCGCCGCGACCCCGACTCCTCTCTTCAGTTCTCCGGGCGCCCTGTCTTATCAACGTCCACCGTCCCAACCAATCCGGCGCCCTCCGAGCCATACAGTCCGCCCACCCTCCACGCCCCGCACGGCCCGTTAGAGCGCAGAGGCCTTTACCAAGGCCAGTCCAATCAGAGGCTCGATCTTACCTGCCCCACCCCAAAGTCCCGCCCCCTGGCCAATCAGCTGCCCGCCTAGCTAACCCGGGCCTTGAAGCCGGAGGGCGAATGGGCGTGCGTCCGGCCGTTCAACACCAACCTCCCAGCCAATCGAAGAACCCGGGAGGCTAGGGTGCCAGCCAATCGCCGTGGAGCACGCGAAAAGGTCCGGCCCGGATATCCCTCCGCCTTCTTCCCTCCCTCCCTCTCCCTCCCTGCGAGCTGTCTCTTTCCCGCCGCCCTTCCTCCTTTCTCCCTCCGCCACTCGCGCACCAGCCGCGCTCTGAGCTGCCCCCGGGGTCCCTCCCCCGCCGTCAGAGGAGCAACGTTCGCCGCCGCCAGAAGCACGTTCGGAGGGCGGAAGGAAGGAGTGGGAAGGAAAGTAACCTGCGGCACCTACCCTGAGGGAGCCGGTGAATGGACTTGTGGTGACCCCCGCCCCCTACCCCACCCTCCCTTCCCACCCG